CCATCCCAGTGCCCCCAGTCTGCTCCATCTGAACCATCCCAGTGCCCCCAGTCTGAACCATCCCAGTGCCCCCAGTCTGAACCATCCCAGTGCTCCCAGTCTGCTCCATCTGAGCCATCCCAGTGCCCCCAGTCTGAGCCATCCCAGTGCCCCCAGTCTGCTCCTCATGGGCCCCTCCAGACCCTTCCCCCCCATCCCTGTGCCCCTGCTTTGGACACTCTCTCAAACCTTCAGATCTTTCTCTGATATTGAGACACCCAAAACTCCCCCACCCCGAGCAGAGCAGGACAATCCCTCTCTCCCTCACCTGGTGATGCTGTGCCTGGTGTCCCTCACCTGTCCCTGGTGTCCCCCAGGTGCTCCTCATGTCCCAGGGCTATTCCTGGGTGGCTTTCCCTGGCTCCCCCTGTGCTCCTTTCCTGTGAGTGACGCTCCCTCTGTCTGTCCATCCCTGCAGATCCTGACAGGGGAGGACTGGAATGCTGTCATGTACCACGGGATCGAGTCCCAGGGCGGTGTCCACTCGGGAATGTTCTCCTCCATCTACTTCATCGTCCTCACCCTGTTTGGTAACTGTATCCTTCCATGGATATCCACAGTCTGTTAGAAATCCCCAGTTCTCCCTAAATTCTCACAGCCTTATCCTTTAAAAACCAAATTATTGCCTTGGTTTGCTCCTGACAGCACTGAAGGTGAGTTGTCCAACTTGGTGTCACTTTTGTTATGGCAATGTAAGAATTTTTAATTTGATTTAAAACAATTTCATTTTAATTGTTGTGGTTTACCTTGAAAATGTTCTATTAAGAGTTAATTTAGATTGTGGGAATAATAATTGAGGACAGGTCAGAGCAGGACCTTGAATATCTTCACAAAGTTTGTTTTCAGTCAGGGGAGGATTGAGATGGGCTTGGTGGAGATGGGAAGGTGGTGATGGAGATGAGGCTCCATCCTCTTGTCCCTTTGTCTAGGGCACCTTAACCAGCTGTGCTGTCCCAAATGCTCCATATTATCTCTGAATTATCTCCACATAATGCTTAAAATTGAATTCTGGATCTTGGGTTTCAGTTTCTGGGAGTGTGCAGTGTTCCAAGCCTTGGCACATGAAATGTTTGTTTTGTTCTTCTGAGAGATGGAAATCTCTCGAGGGTAACAAGAAACTGGGAGCTTTCATCCCCCAGTGTCCCAGGGTGTGTGCTGGGGAAGGGGTGGTGTGTCCCCGAGGGACAGAGTGACACTGGGATGGCATTTGGGATGGGAGTAATTTTGTATTTTATGCATATTTTACATTTGATACACAAACAAGCAAAGCAGCTGCCTGCTGGAGCAGCTGGGTGTGAAGAGCAGAGCAGGAGGGCAGGGGGGCTGTGGTGGCCCTGTCCTGTCCCTGTGGTGGCCAATGCTCTGTGACAGTGCCAGCAGCAGCCAGCTGCAGCCTCACTGCTGTGGGGACAGCCCAAAGCCACACCAGGTGAGGTTTAGGCTGGACTTTAGGGAGAAGTTCTTCCCAGGAAGAGTGGTTGGGCATTGGCAGGGGCTGCCCAGGGAGGTTTGCAGTCCCCTGGAGGTGTTTAAGAAAAGACTGGATGTGGCTCTGGGTGACAAGGTGGTGTCAGGTCTAGGCTGATCTCAAAGGGCTTTTCCAGCTGAGTTAATTGTGTGATTGTGTGACTGATTCTGTGATGATTGTGATGCTGTGATGATTGTGATTCTGTGGTTGTGTGATTGATTGTGTGATTGATTCCATGATTGTGATTGATTCTGTGATTCACAGCCACGAGCTGTGTGGAGCCAGAGGGAGCATCCCTAAAACAGGAGACCCAGGAATTGTGGCAGAGCTGAGGCAGCCCTGGCTGCTTTGTTTTTTTTGGCAAAGTGGGATGAGGATGCCCCAAGGTGGGATTTGGGCACCCCAAGGTGGGATGAGGATGCCCCAAGGTGGGATGAGGATGCCCCAAGGTGGGATTTGGGCACCTCAAGGTGGGATTTGGGCACCTCAAGGTGGGATGAGGATGCCCCAAGGTGGGATGAGGACCCCCGAAGGTGGGATTTGGGCACCTCAAGGTGGGATGAGGATGCCCCAAGGTGGGATGAGGGTGCCCAGCGCTGCTGCTCCACCCAGGAGCTCCCACGATGATTTCCTGACATTCTTGCTGGTTACAGTGCCAGCATTCCTCTTTTCCTGGGAGTCTTGTTTGGGCTGGAGACGTAGGAGAAAGGGAGGGGTGAATTGGGGGCAGTCCTGGGGCTAAAGACCGAATTCCTGCAGAAAGGGCTGCTCCAGCTGGAGTGCAGGTGACAAAACGTGCCAGAGGTGACATTGGTGCCCGTGGATGGCACAGCGGAGCTCCAGCCCTTTGGCTCTGCTGGAATTGTCTCCTTCAGGATGAGCAGCAGGGAAGGGCAGGGCAGAGCAGCAGTGGGAGCTGTGCCTGTCACACGAGTGTCTCCAGGATTTATCCCGTTCCCAGAGCCGTGGCAGTGATGCTCAGACATCTCTCAGCAGCCAGCACGGCCCTTCCAGTGACACCAGGCTCTGGAAAACTGGGTCAGTGGAGAGCAGGGAGGGAGGGAGAGCTCTAAATCCTCCGGGCTTGGCGTTTGGAAATGAGATTAAGCTGTAATCAGACTCCACAGCACAGGGAGGGACTTTTCACCTCGGAGCTGCTAAAATCCAGCGGTTTTGAGGAACATTCATTCCTTCCTCACCTTGAGTTCAGAGGGGAGTTCTCCCTCCTTTGGTTTTCATTGCCAGGGAAAGAGCAGGGGATGTTCAAGAAGAGGGGATCTGCTACCCCTGCCACGGATTTGGGATTTGGAGAGTGGAAACCTCACCCACCTTCCCCCTAAATCCCATCCTGGCAGGTGCAGCTGTCTTGTTTTCCCTTCTGCTGCTGAGGTGATCCAGGGGGGGCTTTCCTGAGTTCCTCCACACATCTCCAGTGCCTCTTCCATGCCCTGTGCCTGCAGCCCCGTGCTGGTGGCTCCTTGAGCTCCTTGGGACATCCCTGGGGCGTTTAGGAAGGAAGAAGGATGTGCCAGGTGGAATTCTTTGATCCTCCCTGAGTCCTGCAGGTTGGCATGAGTTTGCTGCAGGTCGGATTCTGTCAGCACAGACAGAGAGGGAAGAATTGGCTGACAAAGGCTAACAACACTCAGAAAAAACTTCTGGAATGTCCTGGAAGGTTTTTTCCCACCAATTTCCGAAGTTTTCCAGCTTTAAAGAGCAGCTGTGGCTGTCCCTGGATCCCTGGCAGTGCCCAAGGCCAGGTTGGACATTGGGGCTGGAGCAGCCTGGGACAGTGGGAGGGGTCCCTGCCCGTGGTGGAGAGGGAACAAGATCAGCTCTAAGGTCCTTCCAAACCATTCTGGGATTCTGCAATACTCCAGATAATCAGAGCTATAAACCTGAGACAAATCTGTGAACTCCTAAGGAGATTTCCAGCCCTGCTGGCCCTAGACACTGGGGGGAGGATGATGTGTGTTTGCCATGGGAATTGCAGCAGGAATTGTGCTGTGTCTGAAGCAGCATCTCAGCAAGGTCAGGTTCAGCAGCTTTGCTTTGGATGCTGAGAGTGAAGCAGCAGAAAGGGATTTATCCCTTAAGGGAGGCTGGGCTGTGTCCCTTAGCCGGGATTTCAGTCAGCAGGAGCTGTCGAAACAGAACCAGGAACATCTGAAAATCAACTTTAGTTTGCCAGAAAAGAGCATCCTCTGCAGGAGGTAAAATAATGATGGATGTCCCTGATGCTGCAGGGGTAAGGATGGGGGAGTACAGGGTGAGGCACCTTGGGGAGTCCCCCAGGGACACCCCCAGAGCCCAGCAAACAGCACAGAGAGCACTGAGATCAGCTTCATTGTGATTAGAAACATGGAACCATAGGATATCCTGAGTTGGAAGGGTCCGCAGGGCTGATTAATTTATAATTAATTATTTGTTTAGATTAATGTGGCTATACTGCTATATCTTGGGATTTCTGAAAGATCTCCCTCTACCTTATAGAACTCCCTCCCAAACGCTTTTAAAATGTTCTTTTTTTCCCTGCAATGTGGTTTTTTTTTCATTTGTCAAGTGAGGCTTTGCCATCCCTCCCCACACGGCTGTGCTGAGCCTTAATTTCCTAAGTGGGACTTCTTGGTTTTTGTTTTCTTACTCAATCAAAGTCTGAGCCCTTTGGGATTCTGATTTGGGTTCCTCTGGGACACTGGATCAAACCTTGTTGGGGAACTGGGATTTGGGGTCAGCTGGGCCAAACCTGCTCTTCTTAAACCTGAGGGACTCATTTCTCCTCCCAGAGCTGCTCAGGGCTCCGTGATTATTCCTTTTTCTGAGGAAGAAAGGTTGGGATGGGGCTGGATTCTGCTGCTCCTCAGTGCCCTTTGCTCTTGGAATCCATTTTTGCTTCTTTGAATCCATTTGCTTTTTCAAGGGATCATGGCAAGGAAAAGTTTGTTTTTCTAAGTGGGAAGTGTCTCATGTTACATTTCCATTTCCAGAGAGTCTCTGTGGAACCAGAAATGGTTTAATGAAAGTTTTATGATTCAAGTAACAACAGGATTTGGCCCATTTTCCAGGAAATTACACCATGCCTGTGTTCACTGTTATCCACTTAATTGATAAATTGAGGCATCTGTTGAGACCATTAAAAAAAATGAAAAAAACTCCAAGAAAAACTGCAGAGGAGCCTGAAAAGAAAGGCAGGGAGGGTGCTGCCCTTCCCTGGCCCCCAGGTGCCAGGCAGGAGGTGATTCCTGGCTCCAGGCACTGCCTCATCCAGGTTCCACAGCCTGAGCCAGAGCCTGGGGGTTGGGAGAAATTTGGGAATCCCTCAGCTCTGAGGGTTCTGAGGGACCTTTTTGGGGGCAGAAACACCCAAGTCTGCCCGACTGTGTCTGCTTGGAAATGGATCAGGCCAGGCTGATCTGATAAAAAGAAATTAATTCCATTTCCAGGGCTGCCTGTGTTACACGAGCCCCTTGCAGCGTGGGTGGGAGCAGGGTTAGGCAGGCAGGTTTATTGCTCAGACATTTATTCCCAGACTGGAGGCTTGGAAGTGTTTCCAGCCTGTTGGAAGCATCCCAGAGGAAAAATCCCAAACCCCAAGCACAGCCCAGAGCCCCGGGGTGCCCTCAGCCCCTCACCCTCAAAGAAAATGGGGGAATTAATGTAAAGGACAAATCTGGCTCTTTGTGGGAGGGGTGATGATTCCAGCACTGTTTTTTCCTGTTCTGTATCCACTGGGATCATTGGGATCAAGGTGTTCTCACCCACTCCTCGCTGTCCTGCTGGGATGGAGGAAGGAGCAGGGGATGGGCATCACATTCCAAACCTCCCCCTGTCCCTGAGCAATCATCTTCCGAGGGAAAAACCCAGGAGAAATGCTGGTTCCTGGCTGGAGAAACCCCAGGGCTGTGTGTCCATGCCCTGGCAGGGAGGATGCAGGAACATCCAAAGGGAGGAATCCACAGGGCTCCTGATCTGATGGGATCCAGGCTCTGGAGACACTCCCTCAGTGGGAATTAGAGCTGGGAATGCTTCTGAAGGCTGGGCTGTGTTTGGTAAAACCCTGGAGAAGGGAAGCAGGAGGGCTTTGAGCCCAGAGCTGGGGCCAGCTTTGGTCCCTGCCTGCCTTGGGAAGTTCCTGCAGCAGCTGAGCTGGGGGGAGCTGCAGGGACCCCGGGGTTGCTGTCTGGGAATGATGGATGGGAATGCTGGATCAGCCCTGCAGCTCTCCTGGCTCCTCTGGCTGCCAGCAACCCCTGGGTGCTCCTCCACACAGCCCTCTGAGGGCTGGAGAGCAGCTGGAGGGGCACTGAGGCCACGGTTCCCAAAATCTGACTGCAGGCTGGCTGTGCCTTGGAGTTCATCCCCTTCCCCCTCACCATCCTCACCCCAGCCCTGCCCTTGCCCTTCCACCCCACAGCTCAAGGCAGGGGAGCAGAAAATCCCAGGGTGGATTGGGTTGGAGGAGACCTCAAAGATCACCCCTGCCATGGACAGGGACCCCTCCCACTGTCCCAATGTCCAACCTGGCCTTGGGCACTGCCAGGGATCCAGGGGCAGCCACAGCTGCTCTGGGTACCCTGTGCCAGGGCCTGCCCACCCTGCCAGGGAACAATTCCTGCCCAATATCCCATCCAGCCCTGCCCTCTGGCAGTGGGAGCCATTCCCTGTGTCCTGTCCCTCCATCCCTTGTCCCCAGCCCCTCTCCAGCTCTCCTGGAGCCTCCTGCCAATTCCTGGATTTGTTTCCTGAACCTCCTGCAGTCCTTTCACTGCGTTTATGGACAGTTCCCATGCACATTCCTATCTGGAGGAGCTCTGGAATGAGTGACTCTCCTGTCCCCAGGTGATGTTCAAGAGTCAAATGCATTTTCTCCTTGGGAGAGTGGTTTTGCTGTGGTTCTGCTCTGCTTTCCCCCCTTCCCTGTGCAAAGGCAGCTGATTTAGGACTGCTCTGGGGCTGTTCTGCAGCCACAAGGTTGGAATAGCAACAATAAACTCAGCAATAGCTGAAATCATTAAGTGGAAAAATGAAAGTAAAATAGGAATAAATAATTCTGATGTCTCAGTGACGGGATGCAGAGCCGTGCTGACAGGTCTGGGCTGGCTGGGCACTGCCCTGGCTTAGCTGGGCTCTGGGCTGGGCTTAGGGGCTGTTTTATCATTAATGGGGGTGGATGTGATGCTCTAGAGCTGAGCTCTGGCTGGGGTGCCCTCATTGCCAGCCAGGATCGTTTCCTCCCAGCAGCCATGACCTGAGATTCATTTTTCCACGCACTCCATGACTTTATACAGCTCTGTGTGTGTAAAAATGTAAATGTTGGCTTAAAACGACCAATTTCCTGCAGCTCCGCTGGTTGTCCTTTAAAACAAGAGGGGAAAATGAGGCTGAAATCTGCATTTCTGGGCTGGAGGGGTGGAAAACCAGGAGCTGTGGTGCCTCTGCCCCTGTGCTCCTGTCCCCTCTCCAGACAAATGTGTGTGCAGCCCCTGCTGGGCTGGCCGAGCTGGGAACGGTGACAAAACTTCCAGGGATCAATCCCTGAAACACCAAGGGGGGGAAGGAGGGGCAGCAGGAAGGGAATATTCGCTGTCTGTGCCGTGTGAAGAGTTTTTCCTTAGCTGCTGCCACAGATACTCTCCTGAACGTCTTCCTGGCCATCGCTGTGGACAACCTGGCCAACGCCCAGGAGCTGACCAAGGTAGGGGCACATTCCTGGGTTCCAAAGCACAGGTGACAGCCTGAGGTGTCCCTGGAGCCCTGCTCACCTCTGGGGACTGCTCTGCACTGCAGGGAGGCACCTGGAGGTTTATTCCCCCTTCAGGTTTCTTTATTTTATTTTATCTATTTTGTGTATTTTTTTTTTTATTTTATGTATTTTGTATTTGGTTTATCCCACAGTAGGCATTGCTCATCTCACATTTTCTGTTTCCAAGAGCAGAGGAGAAGCAATTAGCAGGTTTTTTTGGCTGATTGGAAGCTCAGACAGGAGCAAATTCAGGCTCTGTGGTGTCATTTTTGCACCTCTGGTGATCAGTTTGCACTGCAGAGATGTTTATTCCCCTTCAGGTTTCTTAATTTCAAGTTGGAGGGAATATTTTGTGTTTAGTTTGGTCTCACACTTTGTGTCCCTTACCTCACTGAGGTTGGTGATGGATTAAAGAATTAAAATTTTCCAATCAGCTCCAGGCAAAACAATTTGCAGAGGCTGTTATGAGCACTCAGGGGAGATGTTGGAATATTCCTGCCTCTCCCCAGGTGTAAAAGAAATCAGAGGCAGAAAGGCAGGTCCTGGCAGGGGATGGGAATGACACTGATGTGCCTTTGCTGGATGTGGGCACAGATTTCTGTTGGAAAATCCCCACTGGGGAATGTTTGCATTGGAGCATCCCCAGGGAGAGCAGCTCAGCCCCAGGGCTGTGCAGGGAGGACTGGGAGTGTTGCACTTGGTCTTTGGGTTATTACACAGTTTTGATTTCTTGGTGGATTTCTCAGGTGGATTTATGAGGAGAATTAAGAGGGTTTTGCACATTTTTAGCTTTTCTCACCCATTCCTGCCATTGGCAGCAGTCACAGACACCTGGGGGAGGGCAAAGGCAGCAGAGTCCCTGTTGGGGTTTAAAACTTTAATTTCTTTATCCTGCCAGTGGCAGAGCTCCCTGCCCATGTGCTGAGGCAGCAGCAGCCAAGGGTGATTTTTGTTTTTAGGGGAAGGTTCAGCAGTTCCTGCCCCTGGATCCCTGGCAGTGCCCAAGGCCAGCCTGGATGGAGTTGGAGCAGCCTGGGACAGTGGGAGGGGTCCCTGCCATGGCAGGGGTGGCCCTGGGTGGGCTTTGAGGTCCCTCCACCTCAAACCATTCCATGGAATTGTTCAAAAACCACAGAGATGTGGTGCTCAGGGTTAGTGCTGAGGTTTGGGGGTGGATCTGGCACTGCTGGACTCAAATCTTTTCCAACATTTATGGCTCTTTGGATCCCCACTGCAGCTCCACACTTCAGGAGATTTCTCCAAGTTTCCCACTCCCCTCCAGCTGCTGGAGGCCAAACCAGCCAAATGTTCCCATCCAAAACCCCCTCCCTGTTGTGGCTGAGCTGCTCTTTGCCATCTCCCCCTTTCCTGCAGGACTGGCTCCAGCTCCCAGCTTTTCTGGAGCTGTTTCCCAGCAGACCCTGCAAACAGCCTGGTGGCTCCCAGGTGAAAAATAAATGTTCCAATTCCATGTTCTGCATCCCTCCTCCCTCAAAATGCTGCTCAGCACTGTATTTAATGGCTCTCTGTTATTTTGGAGCTTTTCCCCCCCTTTTTTTTTTTTTTTTTAATGGGAATTTTTTCCCTTTCAGTAGCTCAGCTGTTTGTGTGCTCACAGAAATCTCCAGCCTGGAGGCAAAGATTCCCCCAGATTTGTGGGCATCCCTTGCATGTGCTAAGAGAGGGGGATGAGGCCCAGCACAATTCCTGGATAATGAAGCTCATCCTCCTTCTTTCTTAATCCTTTAAGTGCTTTCTTGTGAATATTTCAGCAGCTGACAGGGTGGGTTAGAAACCTGACTTTGGGGATGTTTATAAAGTCTAATTAAATATTGATGGATTCAGCAGCAGTGCCAAATCATAAAGCTTCTCCAGAAACTCTCTTGGGGATTTATTTATTTTTTTTTTAGTTTAATTTTATTTATGATCTCCCCCCAAATCACTAGGGCTTTCAAAAGAAGAGGAAGAAGCTAAAATTCGATTAGACACATACCTGGAGAATGAGGGATTTCCTGCTGAGTAAATATGATCATGCAAGCCCAGAAATGGCCCAGAGATACAAGGAAGTTACTCAGGAGTCAGTTGGTCCCAGGAGACTTTCCTGACATTTATTCTGGGAAATTAATTGAGATCAGTGCTGAATTTAATGTGGGAGAACCAGGAGCAATTGAAATTGCCTCTGTTTAGGGAACACAGAAAACCTTCCTGCCTCAGGACTGGAACATTTCAACTTTCCCCACTTCTGGATGCTAATTTGGATTTCTTTTGGTGGCATTTTGGCCATTTCTGGGTTTTGTGACCCATAAGAGAAGTTCTCAGAGCTGGGACTATATTTAACTGCAGTTTGATCAGCCTGTTACAGAACTCACCAGTGCTTAGGAATGACTCATTTTTGGGGGAAAAAGTAAAGAATCACCACCTTTGTTTTCAATCTATAAAAAATCTGCTCCCAGGTCCCTCTCCTGCTCTTCCTGTTCTGGTCTTGCACTGACTCAAACTCTGCCAACCCAGTTTTTAGTGATTCCTGAGAACTCTCCTGAATCCCTTTGGGTTCCCTGACCTTTAAGGTTTTTTTCAATATATCGACAGGTTTTTCTTCCTGTTCACTTACTCAGACTGGAATCTACAATTGCCCCCAAAATTTGCTTTTCAATCTCCCTGCTGATCATCCAGAATGCCCCTGGTGACATCAAACAGCTCCTGCTCCATCCTCATTAAACTGGAGTGTAAATCCACTACAACTGAGGCTTTATTTTCCTAAATATCTTCAAGCAGGTTTTTTTTCTCATCTCTGTCCACTGCCAGTGATCCCTGAAAAAGCAGGATAAAAACACATACAAGGGATGTGGGAATTTTACATAAATTTGTATAAAATTCTTGAGGAACGCCCAGAAATTCTGGACTGAAGGGAGTGGCCAAGCCAAGAGCTGAATCCACAATTCCCCCTCCTTCTGCTCCCCTATGGAAAAGGCTTTAACTGGCTGAATGTATTAAAGAAAATGCAGCGTTAATGATGCACATCGTGATGGGTGGCACCAAAACTGTGAGAAATTGATTTAAATTAAGATTTAGAGCTGCAGAAAACAGCAAGGGACATAAACCAGGGATGTCCTTATGGGCAAGAGCCTCATCTGCACCTGCCCCTGTGAAATGGGGGTGACACTTTGAGCTGTTCAGAGCTCCAGTGTGAGCTGGAATTTTAAATATCAGGTAAAAAATTAATTAATTTTTGGAGTCATCTGCAATATCTGTATGGAAGGAGCTACAGAGATATTAAAAAGCAAACATCTGCTGAGGACTGAGCTCGTTGTGAGGGAGGAGCAGCTGCATTTTGCTGCTCCTTCAGGATGTCGAATCCAGCAGAATTACAGAGGCCCCCGGGAGAATGGAGCAGAAGCCACAAATTTAAAAGAGGTTTTAAAACCTGCACCTGGTGCTTTAGGGGCAGAGAAAGAAAAATCAGCAGCCTTTGGTTTCCAGGCTGCTGGAGATCCCTCAAAGGAAGAAATAACTTGAATATACCTGGAGGATGAAAGGAAAAGCTGAAATATTTTTCTATTGGGGGTCTTATTTCTTTTAAAACTTGTGTCCTGAGGATAACATTTCTGCTGGATTGGGATGGGAACAGTCCATGTAAGTCACAGGAGCTGCTGTGGGATTTGTGTGGAAAACAAGGATTTGTGTGGAAAACAAGGATTTGTGTGGAGAACAAGGATTTGTGTGGAGAACAAGGATTTGTGCTGCAACCACTCTGGGATGTTTTGTTATTGCTGAGCAGTGACCCCACAGAGCCCAGGGGGGGAAGCTGGGGGACACAAGGATTTGGGGACACACAGCTGGGACAGCTGAGCCCAGGGATATTCCAGGCAGAGTGACAACATCTGTCTGTCCCAGCCCTGTGCCATGGAGGGAGCTCTGCTGTCCTGGGAATGGCAAAACCTGGGATGGGAAATGTGGAATTAATTCCTTTCTCTGCTTTCTCCACCGCCTTTTCTTTCCCAAATAAATTGAATTTATCCCAATCTATGGGTGCTTTGCACCCCACCAGGGTGAAAGGACAAGTACCTGTGGGCCAGGACTAAACCAAACACCTTTAATTTGCAACGAGCTCCCAAAGCTGTGATAAATTTACTGGAATTTGGCAGCTGAGAAATATTGACTTTGTATAATTGCTCAGCAGGTCTTTTGTTCAGGCCTGGTTATAGACTTGCAAATATTTGCAAAGGGAGAAAAAAAAAAAAAAAAAAGAAACTTATATGGTAACGATTTTTAAAATCAAGTTTCCATCTTTTTTTTTTTCCCTTCTGAAAGACAAAAGGAAAACAGTTTCCAAATGAGTTCAGCTGAAGCAAATGGCACCAAAGGCAGAGCGAGCTGTTTATGCAGATGGAATTCAGGGTGGATAAATCTCTAGAATTTCCTATTGCAAAGCTGGGGATCTGTCTGCTCTCATTATTTTAATCATGACTCCTTCCAGCATCACCCTGGGAGAGCAGAGCAGACCTGTGGCATTCCATAAAGTGTGACAGTAGAGCCTGTGACTGCTCTCAGTGCTTTTCCCTGGGCTTGTGACATGCTGGCATTGCTACCAGAGCTCTGTGCTTACCCTGCCATGATTTGACTTTATTTTGGTTAGAAAATTCCAGGAAAGTCGACCCTTGGTGACCACTGAAGGGGAGCCAGGCTGTTTCTTTGGGTTTCTTTGATCCTTAAATTTTGAATTTTTGAAATTAATTTTTGGAATATCTATTTTTTAATTAAGATTCTTAATTTGGAGTTTTAGTGGTGCTTTTCATGTTGGGTAGGAAGAGAGAAATGCCAGTTACAATATTCAGGCACTTCTGTGCCACCAGAAGTTAAAAGTCCTCATGATCCAGGGATATGCAGGAAGCAGGAACAGAACTTTGCTCTACAAACTACATTTCATATGGTTCACTTTTTGTTTTCTGAGTCCTCAGGGATCTGAGGTGGGTGTGGATAACTAATGGGAGCAGGACCAGTCCCAAATCCATAATTCTTTATGATTGTTTCAGAAAAGTGCCCTTGGCAGGAGGTCAGGGAGGATTTAGGATCCTGTCCATGTCTTCCAGCAGGACAGCTCTGGGATCCCTGGGGAATCCCACCTGGAATTGGCCCCATTCCTGCTCTGGGCTCTCCCTGCTCCTTCAAAGTCTCCTTCCCCAGTGCTGTGAGCTGAGAGGAGACCCAGGAGAGTCAAGAAAGTTTGTGAGGGTAAAAAACCCTTGTCTTGGTTTGAAAGCCAGGTGTCTGCCAAGGAAGGCAGGAGCCTCTCTTTGAAATGGAGAATGTAAACCCCCTCCCTCCAAATTATTATAATTTTGAAATTAAGGGGCTCTCAGGCAAAGATATGGGAATAGGAATAACAGTTCTTTACTAGGAAAATTAAAACAGAAATCCAGTATTACAGAGAACAAACCCAAACACGGCCAGAGTGAGAATCCAAGGTGCCCCCGTCAGTCAGTCAGGGTTGGTGCAGTCCCATTCCATGGTGGCTGCATCCTCCTGCAGTGACAGATGTGGTTCTGCTGGAGCAGGGCTCCTGCACAAGGTGCAGTTTTCCTCCAAAGCTGCAGGGATGATATGCAAGGCTCTGGTTTTCCTCTGGGATCCAGTGGGAAAAGGCTGCTCTGCTGTTCCAAATCTCCCCTTTGATCTGGGTAGGAAATGCTCGGCTCCTGCCCTGGCTGGAGCATCTCCCAATGGGATGATGGAATTTGATCAGCCCTGCCCTGGGACTGCATGGCCATGAACAGGAGAGATCTCCTGGAGGGAGGATGGGCTGTGGGCAAGATAAAGAACACTGCAACAGCTGGGTGAACAGCTGGAACATGAACAGAGGAGATCTCCCCCAGAGATCAGGATCACTGCCATAGCTGCTTTAACAGATGGGGACAGAATCCACACTTTTGGGCACATCCTGCATTGCAACCCAAGACAACCCTCTTGACCAAACCTTGACTTTCTCACCTCAACTTGTGCCAAACCTGGGGCTCCTTGCAGGAAAATCTGCCCTAAATTCAAATTCCTGTGTCTGTACAGCACATCAGTGGCAGCCACCCACACCCGAGCCCTGGGGAGCTCTGCTGGTTGTTATTCCATGATTTATTCCTGGATTTCTCTTGCTTTTGTGCCCCAGGACGAGGAGGAGATGGAGGAAGCCACCAACCAGAAGCTGGCCCTGCAGAAGGCCAAGGAAGTGGCTGAAGTGAGCCCCATGTCAGCAGCCAACATCTCCATAGCTGCGTAAGCACCTTTGATTCCTTGGGAGGAAATTCCCCTTTTCCAGTGTCACTGTGTGTGTGTCCAGCTGGAGCATCCCCTGGGATCTGGGAGCCCTCCTGCACCATCTCTGCCACTCAAACACCTCAGTGCTGAGCACTTAATTAGGAGTTTAATGAAGGATTTCTTTCGGTTTGGTTCTCTTTGTAATGCCTCATCTTTGAATAATTGTATTTTAGGAGGATTTTTTAATAAGCTGTCCCAGGATAGATTTCACCAGGTGAAGTGTTAACATCTCACTTTGGATTTTTAATGAGGAGAGGGGTGTGTGCACAGAAATTACTATTTTTTTAATGATCTTGAGTATTCAGTGCAAAGGCATCCTCTTAAATAGCTGGAAAATGTGCTTGAATCCTCTTTCCTTGCTGTTTGAAAGAGCTGAGTGCAATAAAATGAACTGGTTTGGAGGTAGGAACATCCATTTGGAATTCTCAGCTGCCTGGATAAGGAAAGCACAGGCTCTGTGATACCAAAACCCTTGGAAAGCTTTGCCTTGGGCTCAACTTTTCCTGGATCCTAGAGGTGCAAAAATGAGGTGTAGGTGGAAATATTTGTCCAGGTCCCTGTGTTTGAGACGTCCCTGGAAATATCCAAGTGTTGGATGGACTTGGAGCAGCCTGGGAGAGTGGAGGGTGTCCCTGCAGAGGTTGGAATGGGATGGGATTTAAGGTCCTTCCAACCCAAACCATTCCATGATTCTGTTTTGGGATATCCCACAAGGATTTCCTGAAAAGGTTCCTTGAACTCTTCTGGAATTTTCAGCATCAGCACCAAAAAGTTTGGTCCTGCATTTTACTGGGAACTGCTGATGTTTTCCAGGCCCTTTTTACAGGGGAGACCTCCAAGGGCTGGAGAAGCTCAAGCATTAAAAAAAAAAAAAAAAAAAAGAAATTTCCTGCTCAATTTTATAGGAAAAAAAAAGCCTGAACTGCAGCCGGATTCCTTCAGTGGAAATCTCTTTTTACTGGGAGTTTAATCCACTTTAGCAGAGACAAAAGGCCAAGTGGAGCCAGTTTGTTACATGTGAAGGAAAAGAATATTATTAATTTGCCTATTTTATTCTTCTTACCATTTTATTTTGTCATTACTGCTGTAATCAGTTCCTATTTATGCTCTGGCTGTTTGATAGTTTTAAATACCATTTTTTCCTTACAATTATTTTCTGGCCAGCCTTGAAAAGAAGTCAGATGAGGATAATTGCTCTTGCTCTTTGATGAATTTCTTGGTTCTGGTCTTTTAAAATGCAAGATGATGATGGTGCTTGTTTGCTTCTGTTTTAATCAAAGCATTTTGCATGGGAAGATTTCTTAGAAATCAGCAGGAAAAAAACCAACTCTCTTCCAAGGAGCTAAGGTTGAAATTGCTTTAAAATCACCTTTTCCCTGGTTTTTCCCCAGGTTTTCAAAAGCACAAGGAGAGTGTTGTGACAACAACTCAGAGTGAGGACAAAACTGTGGATTTTTGCTTGTTTTGCCTCAAATTGAGTCTGCCCCTCCCTGTTTGGTGCAAATGCCCAGGAGCAGAGTGGGAAGGATGGTTCCACATCTGCTGAGCCTGTGACATCTCCTGGCCCTGCTGCAGGGCCAGGCTGAGCCCCCAGGGCACTCCCAGAGCTCCCAGGGCTTGGATTTGGGGGGGGAAAAAAAAAAAAAAGCAGCATTTAGGAGCAGAGGTTGGGACCAAAGGGATGATGCCCTGGAGGAGCAGCAAGGGAGGAGTCAGGTTCTGGGGGATGGGAAGGGATTGGTGGCTCCTGATCTGTGACATTGAAATCTGTCAGGTTTCATCAATCCATGGCACAGCAATTTGTTTTATACATAAATCCTGGAATATTCTGAGTGGGGAGACACCCACAAGGATCAAATCCAGCTCTCAAGTGATCAACCCATCCAGGGATGGAATGTCCATCCTCAGGGAGCTCCAGAGGGGCTTGCAGCCCTAAATCCTGGATAAAGGGTGGTTTGTACCCCAAATCCTGGATAAGGGGTGGTTTGTACCTCAAATCCTGGATAAAGGGAGGTTTATATCCCCAAATCCTGGATAAGGGGTGGTTTGTACCCCGAAATTCTGGATAAAGGGTGGTTTGCAGCCCCCATCTCTTGGATATCTCTCTCCCGGTCATCAGGGCTGATTTAGGGACCTCTTGGCACCCAAATCCACCCCAACACTTCATTTCTCCTGCTCTGAATCCCCACAGTGCTCTGAGGGTAGAGCAGATGCTGTGACCATGGCAAGTCCTGACAGATCAGATCCAGAGCTGGACATTCCAAAAGTGCTGGGTGTTCTTAAAAATGAGACTTTTGTGAAATGGAAATATCCCCAGAAATCAGCCCCCTATAAAACTCAGGTACAAAGAATTCAGAATCCAGGCCCTGTAGGATTCAGTGAGCAAAGCCCAGGAAAACTGGATTGAGCTCCTGCAAAGGTGGCTCTACCCAATCAATTTATATTTGTAATTTCCTCTCAGGAATATATTTTTTTCTGTTTTATATTTTAATGTTATTTTCCCAACATGTGAAAATGGATTTCTATAACAACAGCAGGCATCGATGGCACAGATCAATAGTCTGAAAACATTGATATTTTCCCTGCCTGCATCAGTCCAAATAGGGTGGTGGCAAAAAAAAAAAAAAAAAAAAAAAAAAGAAAAATCCACCACGACTTGGATTCTTGGATTTCCTTAATCATGATGTTCATGTTGCCAGGGTTTGGCCACCTCCTTTGTCACAGAGGTGACAAAGTTGTCCCTGGTGAAAAGTCACATTTTTTGTGCTGCCTCAGGGCTGAGGTTCTGTTTTCTTCCCTTGCCTTGTCAGAGCTGCCCTGAGCTCTGAGTGTGGCTCCCCCTAAAGCTCCTTCAGCCCTTCCCACGCTGCTGGATCCTCCACCTCTGGCATTTGCCCTGTGCCAATACAGGGTGAGCTGGGCCTGAAGAGGAATTGTTTTGTACTCTGTCACTTACGAGGTTTGGGGTTTTTTTTAAATTCTGTGAGGCAATGGATTGCAGTTGCAGCCAGATCCAAGGGAATCATTTAATCACCACCTGCCAGTTCTCCTGCCCCAGCCTCCCCTCCTAACCAAGCTCCATAAAATTTGCACATCCAGTGCCTTGGAATTGTCCCCTTGTCCCCCCTCCTCTGCTCTGAGCTCCATTTATTGTGTTGGTGACTAAACATCATTTCCCAAGCACAAGGAGCTGCTTGTTCAGGGTTCCAGCTCTGAAGAGGCTCCTTCACCTTCCCACGTGGAGTTGGGAGCTGGGTGGAATTGGTTTGTGATTGTTGGGGACCAGGGATCTCCTTTAATAACAGGCTCATCATTGCCGTGCTGGGGAGGCATCGTTTACCCTGCACCTCTTCTCCTCCACCACAGGGATTCACCTGAGCAGATTTTTCTGACCTTTTTCACCTCGTGAACTCTATCCTGAAAGGGCCTTTTTTTATTTAGTGGCTTCTCAGGATGAAAAGTGAGGCTGGTGTCTTGTTCTGGAGCTCGTGCTCCACGCAGCTCCACCACAGGGATTCACCTAAGCAGGTTTGTCTGACCACAATTGGGTTTTCACCTGGTGAACTCTACCCTGCAGGATTTATTTTGTGGTTTCTCACGATGAAAAGCGAGGCTGATGCCTTGGTTTGGAGCTCCTGCTTCATCCAGCCCCCAGCATTTCTCTGCTCCACCACAGGGATTCACCTGAGCAGATTTGTCTGACCACAGTTGGTTTTTCACCTGGTGAACTCTGTCCTGAAGGATTTATTTAGGATGAAAAGTGAGGGTGGTGCATTGGTTCTGTCACTGTTTGCAATGTTTGCCTGAAAACAGGAGATGTGTTTGATTCGAGCCCATTGTTTCATTCTTCTTTTTTTGTGATTTTTTGTTTGTTTGTTTTCTGTTTAGCATTTTCCTTGCTTTGTTGTTTCTGGAGGTGAGTTCTGGGTTTGTTCAGCCCCTCTGTGTCGTTTGCCCTGCTCAGCCTCTGCACCTGAGGGACTTCACAGAGCCAGGGGGGTCCTTAGGGCAAACCATTGGTGCAGCTTCCTTGGCAGCCACACCCCAGGACAGGGGACAAGGGGACAATTCCCTGGATGTCCAAAGCACTTTCTGGTGCCACTGCCAGTGGCAGGAAGAGCCCTCAGGCTTGACCCTGTGGGTCACACAAAGACCCCAAAGCAAACATGTTGGGTTGTTTTTTTGTTTTTTTTCCTGGCCTGATGCCTGAATTCCCTGTTTGGGTTCCTCCTCTGCCTTTGCCCTCCCAGCCAGAGCTGCACCAATGGCCAGTACCAAAGGAGCTGCCAGGAGCACACCCTGCCCAGGCAGGGCACCACCTGGCACCCACTGCATTCCCCAGTGCCCCCTCCTCACCTTTTCTTGGGAAAAGCCTTCAATTAGCAATTCTTCAGCACCTCTAAATTTGTAGGAGCCCTCCAGGTAGTCAGCCACGCTTTGAGGAACTTTTTGCACTCTGTGGTTTACGAGGTTTGGGGTTTTTTTGAATTCCGTGAGGTAATGGATTACAATTGCAGCCAGATCCAAGGAAATCATTTAATCACGGGTGGGAGGAGAACCTGGGTGCTGGATGAAATGTTGTGGGCAGTGGCAGAGACAGCTCCTGGATGTGGGCACCAGACCTAAGCACAGTTTGTCACATTGCCCACTGCAGCTCCAGAGGGATTTGGGCTTCCCAGGACTGCAAAGATCCCCTTCTGTCTCCAGGACTGGTTCCTGCTGCTCCCTCCTGGGCTCGTTCACAGAGCTGGTGCTGGAATTGCAGCCCCCCAGGGGGACAGTGCCTGTCAGTGTGACCAAAGGTGGCACCTCAGCCACCTCACCCTGACTGCTCTGGCTCTTTTGGACAGGTTTTGGGGTGCAGGGAGGGGGGAGGAGCTGCTTTGTTTTCTCCAGGTTTTCCATCTCGGAGCTTCCATGTTTTCCTTCTGTCTTGGGAGTGTCCTGGCTGATTTCTG